AGTAGCGAGGGAGGGAAAAACAGGGGGTAGGGGGAGGAGGAGACACCGCACCAAGTTTATAGGAATTTATTTAGCATCGTAAGACACGCACGCGGCTGTGCTCTCTTCACTAAATAAATTCCGAGGATCCGTGCAATTCAAAGATCCTTAGATTTGACGGTAGATTTAATTATTACATTTTGCGGTATCAAATGAAATTGAATAAAATTATTTTTCTGCGTATCTCATTACATGTCTCAAATTATATAAATTTCTCTTGTAATGCTTTTTTAAATAATTTTATTTTAGAGAGATTATTTGTACATAGTATTTTCTTTATTTATTTATTATTACAAAAAAATTTGAAAATTTTAAATGATGTGAAATGATTTAGATTATATCATTGAATATATGTTCACATCAAGTGGCACAATAATAGTAATTGTAAGCATCTTTGATATCGCACATTTATATAAATAACAGGGGGATATGACTAGTAAACTGATAGCACAGCTGAAAAGATCTAATTATTGTTTATAGTATAATTTTCTAAAAATTATAGCTTCTTTTGCATAAGTGAAGGAACAATCGAGCGAATGGCATAACCTGTTTAATCATCTACTCCATTTCGTTTTTATCGAACGGCGGAAGAAAATCGACAACCGCAATAGCGATAAAGCCTCGCGGACGTCATTCGATGTAGCACGAGCGGGGTCGAGAGGAGTTGCATTGAGAAATTTCAATTCTTAAGGTCGATATGGAGCTAGCTTGATCCATTGATCCCAGAAATATCATCGGGGTTATGCAATGTTGAATGAGCAAAGAGTCGACCGGATGTCGATAACGTTTCAATTTGTCGATGTCGAAGGCGTATCGCGGATGAGCTCTAAATATTTATGCGATACGTTTATTTAGAACTAAATAATAGAGTGATAATTTTTTCTCGCTAGACCTTTGTATCTCAATTCCATTTTTGGCGATTAAAAAAGACGGGTATAAAACTTCGTATCCCAAAATAAATCGGCAAGCGATAAAAATTGATCTCGCAAATCATAATAAATTTCATTAATGAATACGAAATTTAAGCGAATATTCTTTTCCTCGTGTTTCGAAAATACAAGATTGCTTAATTAGGCCGAAGGGCCCTTCTGAGAGAGACGGTCATCCGGAATAATCTCGCGACGCGATCCGCTGGGAGCGCGAATGATAAAGCCGGGCAACGAAGCCAACGTACCCGGGTACATCTCGCGTTGCTCCGGGAAAGGGTCGATCGACAAGACCGGGGGATTCGAAAGCGCTTTGCGAACCGCGCGCGTGCTGGTCCGGCTAATTAAGTACGCCGTAAGTTAATTGAGATGCTGCGCGTAGGAGTAAAGCCGAAGATACGAGGGAAACGTTAAACTGTGTAAACATCGAGCTAATTACTTCGAGACTTTATCGCGCCCGTGCTCTCCGCCGGAGAGCGGATGTAAGTGTGCGCGTGCGAAAAGCAGGAAAAGTGGGGAACGCGGGGATGAGGAAAAGGGAAATGAGAGAGGGAGAAAAACCGGCGTTTATCGATGGAAAAACCAAACGGGATTAGATGGAAATGAAGCTAATCGTAGCGTCGTCCGATTGATAGGACCGATATTTTATGCGACGAAGTATATCTAACAATAAGTGGTAGCCGATAAGCTACAGTAACATGTTAAGAGAAGAAAAACGAGCTACAATTAAATTAAATTATTTAGAGAGATCTCTTCTTGCGAGTTAATATGTGAGAAGGTTTTGCGCGCAGAATTTTACGTATAATTTTATTTTCTATCATTTCTCTCTCTCTCTCGTTATTTCTCTTGTATAAATTTCGACAAAATTCAACTTGGCCGACCCTCGACGATAATATTTTCGTTTATTCCGTTGGGTCGACGATATCTCGCTTATCCTTCTTTTTATCATTAATTCAAAATATAGTCTTCTCATTGACATTTTCTGCGCATGTGTGTATCTCTTAGCATATTTTATAAACGCAGTTTCGTAACACATACGTTTTGATTTACATTTTCTTTCGACAATTATTCACTAAGAAGAAGTACTCTTGTATAACGGAGGGTTAAATAATGCAAGCAGGCAAGGTGGAATGGAAGAAGGAGACGGAGTCTCGAGGTGCGGTCGTTGGTAACTGCTACTCGCGGAAGGTGAGGAGACCCAGTTAATTACTAAAGCGTTTTAATCGCCGGCAAAGTTCCGTCCGGGCCGGAAAGGGCTTCCTGGATGCGGCGACTGTGTAAATTAGGAACTCGCCAGTTTCTTCTCTTCGCTCGTCTTTTCCGCGTCCGCATTATGTACGCTCGGTCTCTCGAGACGAGCGTCATCCTAATTTCCGACAAGAGCTTTGACTTTAACGTAATAGCGCGCGACGCCCGTAACTTTTCCACATTATTCCGGAAAATTATTCGCGATCTACTAATGGCTGAGGGACTTCTTATCTTAGTATCGGAAACTCTGAATATGACATCTTCATTATTGAAAATTGATTGCATTTTCAATAATAAATGCAATTTTATTTATATAATCTTTAAATTGTTATGTTATTTACTATTGATAGCATTACGATATTTTTTCAATAGCAAATTTAAGTAATTAATTTATAATAAATGGCTAGAGAATATTAGAGCATATTTTCAAAAATACGTACAAAAATTGCACGACGTCAAATATATAATCTTTTTTTATTCTTTTTACTTGATTTTAATTCATGTCGTTATATTTTTTTTTTGCGGGAAGAGGCTTTTATTTAACTTGATATTAAATGCCTCCCTTTCTCACTTCTCCTCCAACCCCTTCTCTCTTCTCTGCGGTTCCTGGCGCATATTTAGGGGTCGCTGGTTACAGGTTGCCCCGGCAACCACATCGAGAAACCCTCTGTCGTTGCCAAGGCAACCTAACCTTCTCCTTCGTCTTCTCACCCTCTCCTCTCTTCCGGAGATTCAATTCGAGAGAGCGAGAACGAGTCTAAAGGACAGAAGGGAGGGAGGAAGCTGATTTCTCTGTGTGTATAGCAGGGGGAGGAGGGAGAAGATCCGACGAAGAGACGAGGAGGAAAAAAAGATGGTGCGCTTTTTGGTGATTATATTTGATGGCGCGAGCGAGGACGTGCCAAATGAGGATTTGACCTTGATTAAAGGCGAACTTCCTCTCTCTCTCTCTCTCTTTTTATTTCTCTTTATCAATAATAAAATGATACACAAAAATTTGCCAGAAAATCTAATCTATTTCGAAAGCATTTATTTTGCGATACAATCGCCAAAATCCACAAAAATAAAATCGTGAGCAAAAATGATAATATAAGAATGAAACTAACAAGAGATATTTAATATATAAAGTTATTAGATTTATTTATCATAAGCTTAAAATATTTCTATTTGAATTTGAAATGTATAAATAAAATCAGAAAAACAAAAAATATTTTATGGGCTCTTGTAACATCTAATCTTTTTTTTTCTTACTGTTAACCGTTAAAGAGATGTAAGTTTGAGAACGATACGATGGCTCATTCGTCGATTCAGGAAACATCGCGAGTCTTAATGGAGCGGATTCTCATGCGGTTTTGGTATTCGTAGCTGAAGCGGGCGAAGAACTTATTCATAAGATTATTCGCCATTTTCGTCATGGCGCACTCTCCTTCTCTTTCTTCTTCCCTATATCGTTATTTAAGTTTTATATTAAAGCACGGTCGGCGCGCGCGCGAAGCTCTCGGGTATTTGATGTATGACCCGCGCGTGTTCTGCTTCCTTCACCAAGATGCACCTAAACGTGAGATATCGTATCCGATCAATTTTTCATGGCCCCACTTCACCCCTTTCGGCCCCTTATTTTCGCTAGAATGACCAGACTCGCGCAAGGTTTCGCATTCTTAATCAAGATGTAGTCGATAAATAATTCAATTATTCGCGATAAAAAAGAAATAAATTTTAAAATATTAATTATGCTTTTAATTCAGGAAAGAAAAATTCAAAGATATGGTATTGTAATAATAAGAATATGAAATTAAAGCGAGATCAGCTGCTCAAATTAGAAGAATGCTCAAGTTTTGTTTAGATTTAAAATAACGAGTTAGAAATGTATCGTTCGGTATCATTGTGGCAAAAATATTCCGAGATGATAGATGAGCGCTCTCTCGGTTCTCGTCGACGAGCGAGCGAATCGCGTGCTAAATAACTTCGCTAACAAGCTGCCGCCGCCGCCGCTGCCACTGTGCAAAAAAAGATTACGTAAGCGGTAATGGCCGCCGGCTCCTCCTAAATTCGAGGACGAAGTGTTCCGGTCGAGCGAGTAATCCAAGAGAGAGAGAGAGAGAGAGAGAGGGAGGGAGGAAGGGAGGGAGAGAGAGAGAGAGAGAGAGAGAGAGGAGAGTGCACAAGCGCGAGTTACCACTCGCTCCTGGTGGGGGTTAATTTTAATTTCCCAATTTTTCCCACGCCGACGCAGCGCAGGTAATTTCCTCCCCAGCAGAGAATAGATGTAATTACTTAACGCCTCCGAGCTCCTTTTATTAAAAGAGGATCGCGCCCTCGGGGGCTGGAGGGGCGGAAGGAGCCCGAGGTGGGGATTGCCACGGGAGTGGTGGTGCGTGATCATGGGGGTGTCTCTTCCTCGCGAGCTCGTCCGTCCACTCGAGACTCGAATTACCGTTTCATTAATTTTATCAATAGGACATTCCGTATGGAATAACACACTATCTACGATAGAAATCCAGGATCCCGAGATTTTTTAATTTCGAAATGTTTGTACCACACAAGATGTTTATAATTTTTTACACGATTAAACCTATCTCTCTCAGGAATCTTTTGATTAAAATTAGATATTTTCAAATGTGCAAGTATTCTCGTCGCATGCGTTTGACTGAAGTAGCATTTAGCGATACAGCACGTATCGTGTTAATATGGAACATAATCTTTAAATTAAACAAATAAAATTCAAAATTCTAGATTTGCGGATCAAAAACGTTTAATTTTCTGCTTTGAAAAAATCTTCATTTAAAGGAAGGATTGGAGAACAAACATGGGACAACAATGCCAAGCAATAAACAACCATGCAACTCGTTGATATATACCTTCGCCTGTCCATTACCACGAATCCGACTCGGATCGAATTCGAGTGCCTCGGTCGACGAGATCGGCAAGGGTATCTCGCAGCAGCTGTGGGAAGGGAGGAGCCATCTTGCGGCCTGTTTCAGGGCAGCCGCCAATTGATTCACCCCCACTAGACGCCGCAACCAGGCGTCGATTCAATTCCAGGACGAAAAAAGCGTCCGGTGGGCATGGCCGTCTCGTATTTCTATTGGTCCAACATCCCGCATCATCCACGAGTTCGCTATACGCTCGTCCAATCGCCGGCTTCTGGGCGGATCCTGAAACCAGTTTTGGTCTCGCTAACAGAGGGGAGTCGTTGACTCGAGTCTCTGGGCAGATAGTATTGTGCCGTTGGCTCATGCCGTAGTGGTTCTAATACCACAGCAGGTCCTTGCTACCAAGGAAATCCCGGAGATCCGCCTGTCGCACGCACTGAATTCGCGAAGGTCGCGAGGACCCGGAAGTTTCCGGTGACGTGTCACGGCCGAAAAACTGTCGCGAATGTGCGCGTTACAGTGCTTCGATCGCGGCCGCGGACATTAATTTTAGACTATATCGAGAGGAATCACCTCTGCAAATCGTGGAGCTTTCAGTGACGTCAGGTGGAAGACCACAAAGGACTTTTGAAAAGATTTTGTTATCGTCGAAAGTCATTAAGCTTTAATCGACCAGCTTGACAAGTGAAGGATTGGTTATATTGATGATTATGTGATAAACTTGACATTTGCTGTTGTTGATCATGGACATATGATTGAAATATTGTATTCTGATTTGTGATATCGCTCCAACTTGTTCAAAAAAATCATTAAAAAACATCGTGAAGTTAGCCGACGGCTAGCGGAATCCTACCAATCGTCTACCTGACAGGCAATTCTCGACGCAGTAAACATTACAAAATATGTGAAGCATTATTGTTTATATTTTGGATCATGGATTGATCTGCAGATTCCACGACGAAAACATCCAAAAACCAGGAATGATAGATGTTGGAAGACAGTAAATAATCGCGGACTGTGGTCGAAGATTATAGACTATTTTTTAAGATTAAGCTCTCTTAAAAGATCAATGATTGAGATGAATTTGTGCCATAATCGAGAAGATTTAGAATGGCAGATGTAAAAGTCCATTCGAAACAGCGAGATCTAAATTTTTATAAACATCTCAATGATCATCATAAATTAGTGATTTATAGACAGTGATGATCTATGGACTGTATCTTCGTTCAGTAGTGATCGTGCTCCAGAAGGCCTAGAATGGAAGATGTAAACAGGCGTTGAGATCAGAAACACTTAACGATTCTAGGCATCAGATCTTGCAATTTCTCGCCTCCCTTTCTCATAAACACATGATTCCGGCGCGCTAGTGATCGGACGTGATCTCTTCCTCTCCTGGTGATCGGGCCTGATCCTCGACGATTGATGCAAGCGGACTGATCTCTCTCTCTCGAAGGAGAGACAACAACCGGCGAGTTGGTACCGAAGATGGTCCTGGAGCCTGGAGGCGGTCTGTCCTTTCCGTTGCCGCCCGGCAGCGGCTCCAGCGCTTCCGGTGGATCCTTGCTGGCCCCGACCAGGCTGTTTCAACGAACGACGCCGGTGTTCCCGTTCCATTTGGCAGGATGGCCGCCTCATCATCCGGTTCTGGGACAGGTGCAAAGCCAGGTACAGCAGAGCATGCAGGCCCAGCATCAGGCTGCTGCCGCGGCGGTCAGATTCCTCAGCCATCATCACCCGCATCATCCGCATCCGACGTTGAGCAATCATTCGCTGGTACCGGCGATCACCGGGCATCATCCCGCTGTACATCATCTGCATCATGCTGCTGATCACGGAGAGGAAGAGGACGAGAAGAAAGGTGAGTTGATGTCCAACGATCGTGTAAGATTGAGAAGAGTTTGAAATTAACATCAAATTTAATTTAAATTAACTTTTTTCTAAAAATGTTATTGTTAGAACACACACACAATCAAAGAGAAATTTATTACTCTGCTTAAAGGATTATCCTCCCTCCTTCTTTTAGATAAAATAAATGCCTAAAAGTTGTTCTAATTTTTGCCAGGAGTTTCTCTCTCTCTCTTCAGAATCTTAGACTTTAATATTCTGTTTACTCAAGTCGTACGAAGCAATTAAATAAGAATTACGCATTATAAGAAAAATAGAAATATAAATTATCAAGATAAAAATATAAATTATTAATTTAAGATATAAATCATAATTTTTTATTTCAAAGAATTAGTAATATAATTTATAGAGCATTTTCTCCTCTGACGTGCGTTGAAGTGCGTAGATAATGGTGGCGTTTCCGAAATAGCTTTTGAAAAACGGTCTTCAGGGAGTGGCGTAACGCGGTCAATCATAAGATCGTTCCTGACGAGCCCCTGGGATCGCTTACGACGTTAGTCCCTATCCCCCTTTTCCCGCCCCTCTTGGCGACCATCCGTCTGAAATCCGTGTTTCGTGCGCGCGAACGTCCGCGCTGCCGAGGGTGGAAATCTGTTTTTTACGTGATCCCATTCACGTCCCTAACACTTGTTTATGCTACGAAGGGAGCGCCACTTAACTCGCCTGCCTTTGGCCTTCGATTGTTTCCGCCGCTGCGAATTTATCGCGCGTTACCGCGAATTTGCGTGAACTGCTTCTTTGGAAATTGCGTCTTTTGCCAAACACCCGAAAACTATCGCAAGCTATCGAATAATTAAAATAAGATTTTTAATTAACATCCCGTTTCGCAGGACTGCTCGATCTCTGCATAATTAATTTTATGTATTTATATATAGAAATATATTGAAGAGAGGAAGGGGAGATATTAAAAATAAACATTATTATATATTGCAGAAATACAATGTCAATAACTATGAAAAATTAATATTAAAATCATAGAGAGAGAGAGAATTTAAAAAAACTGGAATGGAATAAATCTTGAAGTACATATATATCTTTCAAGGTGTCAGTTGGCAATAAAAGATAGCATTGAGATGATTTTATCTGGAATGTATTTCTACAGAAATTTAATCCTAGAAAAACAAAATCATATTATGTATACAAAATTGCGATATAAATAATTTTTTAGTATCATATTTTTATTGAAACAGCTACTGAAAGGATTTATGGGTTTAAAAAAAAGAGATATTTTTAATATCTGGATAATAATATTTCTATATATCCTCGTACAAATTTCTGGCGAGTAAATTACAGCTTTGTTCAATAGAATTAGAAAAGTTTTGCTTATTATCATACGAACTTGCCGGACTTCTTCTTCGATAATCTCACGATTCTTTTCCAACGTCGCGTTGAATAACACTTGGCGGTTTCGCCGCTTCCGGAAAAGTAAAAGCGGCGGTTAGATTCGTTATAATTACATAATGATTTCTATGTCGTGGAGAAGAGCATTTCGTTCATGAACGTCGACCGAACACGCGAGCGTGCATCAAATCGATCCGCCGGTTATTTCGAAATTTATGAAAGCTCCCCCCTCTCTCCCTTCCCCCTGCTCCATTATAATAAATAGTTTTATTAGAAATGCCAGCAACGCGTGTAATTGCGAATACTTGCTACACTTTGATCGAACGTCGTTCGCCAAACACTCTTTATAGCGTCACATAATAGAGTCCGATTTATTTTCGGGTTTAATATCTTCAATATCTTTTTTTGATATGCTAAGCTGAATTGATTTGATATGCTATTTCTTTATTGTGGAAAATATCATCGGTGCTAAAGTTCGAACAAATTCGTATCATATTCGTTCGCAGGTAACGCGAATTAAATAATTCAGAGTCTACGATAAAGTTTTTATATATAAAATATGCTAAACTATTCAGCAGAAACTATTCTCTTAAACTAAATCAGTGAAAATGTCACTGATTAAAACAGTGACACAAAATTTTATTGAAGATCAGTGAATATTTTATTATCTTGAATTGATTTTTTCAGTGATTTCATTAATTTGCAGTGATTTGCTTATAACTGAGATCAACTGACTATTCGCTGCTTTTTAGTAATAATATACTGATCCTACTTGAGAAAATACAGATATTTTGCCACACCTGATTATACAAAAAAATTCTATAATGTTTAATAAATATTATATGATATATTATAGTCTAAAGCCATTTCAGTATTCAAGTACTATGATTTTTCGATTAAAATCTCTAAAATCTTCATAGTCTCATTATCAAACACAGCTCTTAAAAACTCTAGATTTCATCTTTTTAAAATATTTGGTTATTGAAAAGCCTAGATAAAATCGCTTCAATAAAAATTACAAATATCGACGTGAGTGCAATGAGCGAGACCGCGTCGCGTTTTCCGCAGTCGCGCGCGCATTGTATTCTCTCTCTCTTTCCGTTAGGTTAACATTTAATTACACCGATTCTTAATTAAACGTTCACGGCGCGCTGAGATTTTATCCCCCCCCGGATCGATGTGTCGCCCGGGCGATACGTCGCGAACCGCGATCTCTCCCCCCC